GTTGAAGGAATGCTAACACTGGGTTATTCTTTTTGATGCTGAGTTTTTTGGTAATTTTCTATGTTAAGGAATGGATAATCCTGGATGATCTGAAGTGCCTAAGACTATGTTCTACCCGCATCTTTTCTTATATCCCTTATCATATGTGTCCTAAGGAACTATAGAAGATAAATAAAGCTTATTCAAATGATACATCCATGTGGTTGAATTACATAGTTTATCAAAGGACTTTAAGCTCAGATTAAAATGTTGTTTTTATTTTCATTCTGGTATTTCATTCTATTTGCAGCCTGAATAGCCCTATTCCAAGCTCAGTCACAAGTCAGTTAGGATAAATTTCAGGAAGATGTTTCTTTAGAAGCCATTTAAAAGATTTCCATTCATCCATGACCAACAGGGGAATTCTAAGTTAGGGAAGTCTGAAGTAAAATGATTCACTTTTTCCGAAGGCTCCTGTTTGCAGAACAAAAAGCAGTCTTTACTTTCCCCCCCTTCATATAACATATATTTCTTTATTTGAACATGCTCCCTCCCTCGAAAACAAGGATCGGGATTCAGTTTCTCCCTTTCAGCTTTGCATCTGGAAAAAGGATCTACGTATTTCTGGTTTTGCCCATGGATATTACATGAACAAAGATAGGAAGCTTCAAAACGTAAAGAGGCTTTAAGAAGACTTTAAAGAATCATCTCACTTTTTGCCTGTTTGGAGCTCTGAGATCAAATGGCCAAGAACTGTGCTGTTTTCCTGAAGGAGTGTCTCTATTTCACAGGAAGATTTTCAGATATCCTCTAGCAGCAAGACATCAGAAATCCCCCTTCAGGGAAATTATGCAGTCTTATTCTGTCCATTTCCTTTTCTTTTTTTCCAATGTACTTTGTGTTTTATTATGCTATACTTGCAGGAGACGTGAATTTTTAGTGAAACAGACTTTTTCTGTTTTCCTCAGTATCATTTCTAGGCTACCTATTATAGATTTTTAAAGTCAAATGAACAAAGAAGATAACAGATTTCTTCTCCTGAAATTGGCATCACCATGTACTGTGGTGAATTCCTCATAGTAAATCAGATTGATTTAATGATGGTCAATTAAATGGTCAAGGGGAAAATCACAGAAGGAATGACCAAACACAAACAAGACACTGAAATGACCCTATGAAACCTAAAAAAATGAAGTCTTAAAAAAGGGATATCTTTTCAAGAACGTGGCTGCAGATGGAAACTTAGCAGCTCAACCAGAAGCATTTGACTGAATCTCATATCTATAATCACAAGTATTCACTGATAATTATTATCACACAATCTGTATTATTTGAATATACATAAATACACATAAATAAATGCCATGTAAATGTTGTGGACTATGAATGGAGGAAATGGGGGGAAAATAAGTATAAAACTCTGTGGAGAATTTAGTCAGTTGGAAAGCTGAAAAGCAGAGGCAATATGTAAGCTCTGAGTTGCCAAAAAAAGAAATAACAGCAACACTGGTATCTCAAAAATAATGACTTCTCTATAAACCAAATAATTTGCTGAAGGTTGGAAAGACTTAAGATATGAAACAGCTCAACTGACCAACACTAGGCTGTTGGAGCTCCCCAAAGCTCTGAACCTGAGGAGAAATCAACTATATTCTAAGGCAGGGGTCTTCAAACTTGGCCCTGTTATGACTTGTGGACTTCAACTCCCAGAATTCCTCAACCAGTCTGACTGAGGAATTCTGGGAGTTGAAGTCCACAAGTCATAAAAAGCCAAGTTTGAAGACCCCTGTTCTAAGGAAAGACTTCTTAGCTTTTTAAAATAATCATGCACATCTTTGGGAAAATTTGATACTCTCATTAACATCATGCATCCCTCTCAAATAACATTGCAATGTAGACTTGCAAGCAAAACTGTGTCTTAACTTTGGATATAATATTTGGAGCATGAGTTGATTATATTTCTTACCACAAAATTACTCCCAAGTTGTCAGGTCATAGCCATTTAAATATGCATTTATGATGTTTTTATTTCCTTTTCTAATTTCTAAATAAACAAGGCTGTACATTGTTCAAATAAACTGCAGTGACAATGATTTGGTATATTTTATGATTATTGTCGGTGAGGCATAACAAAAGTGCAGTTTAAGAATATTTATAGTCTATAGTTGTTCAGAGAATAAATAAAATAATCCCTTTTAAGAAGAGAGGGTTTGGTGCAGGATCTCAGCTGTCACTAGAACTGCACTTTTCTGGACAGAGAGCTCAGATGAAATCTGTTGGAGTCACTCTCCCTGCTTAGGAGTCACAGCCCTGAGTGCTCCTACCATTTACTTTTCAAACCCTCTCCAGTTCTTTCTTCAGATCCTGGAATAGAATAGAATAGAATAGAATAGAATAGAATAGAATAGAGTAGAGTAGAGTAGAGTAGAGTAGAGTAGAGTAGAGTAGAACAGAACAGAACAGAGTAGAACAGAACAGAACAGGAATAGAATAGAATAGAATAGAATAGAGTAGAGTAGAATAGAATAGAATAGAATAGAATAGAATAGAATAGAATAGAATAGAATAGAATAGAATAGAACAGAACAGAATAGAGTAGAACAGAACAGAACAGGAATAGAATAGAATAGAATAGAATAGAATAGAATAGAATAGAATAGAATAGAGTAGAGTAGAGTAGAGTAGAGTAGAGTAGAGTAGAGTAGAGTAGAGTAGAGTAGAGTAGAGTAGAGTAGAACAGAACAGAACAGGAATAGAATAGAATAGAGTAGAGTAGAGTAGAGTAGAGTAGAGTAGAGTAGAACAGAACAGAACAGAACAGAATAGAGTAGAACAGAACAGAACAGGAATAGAATAGAATAGAATAGAACAGAACAGAATAGAGTAGAACAGAACAGAACAGGAATAGAATAGAATAGAATAGAATAGAATAGAATAGAATAGAATAGAATAGAATAGAATAGAATAGAGTAGAACAGAACAGAACAGGAATAGAATAGAATAGAATAGAATAGAATAGAATAGAATAGAATAGAATAGAATAGAATAGAATAGAATAGAGCTGGAAGGGACCTTGGAGGTCTTCTAGTCCAGCCCTCTGCTCAAGCAGGAGAACCTATGCCATCTCAGACAGATGGATGTCTAGTCTCTTCTTAAAAATCTCCAGTGATGGAGCGCCCACGATTTCTGAAGGCAAGCTGTTCCACTGGTTGATTGTCTTCACTGTCAGGAAGTTTCTCCTTAATTCCAGATTGCTTCTCTCTTTGGTCAGTTTCCAACCATTGTTTCTCATCCTGCCCTCTGGTGCTTTGGTGAATAATGTGACCCTTCTTCTTTGTGGCAGCCCCTCAAATACTGGAATACTGCTATCATGTCACCCCTATTTTTTCTTTTCTTTAGACTAGCCAAACCCAAGTCCCGCAGCTGTTCTTCGTATGTTTTAGTCTCCAGGCCTTGTGTCATCTTAGTTGCTTTTCTCTGATTTTTTTCCAAACTCTCAACATCTTTTTTGTGATTGGTGACCAAAATAGAAACCTGCGTGTTTTGTTATTTAGTCTGCCTAAATCATCATTACCATCATCATCAGGTCCTGTGCAGAGCACACTGGCAAGTGTTTCCCAATGGTTTTGCTCATTCGCAGCATCTTCGGTATCATCCCAACGGACATTAATAATCTTAAAAACTTATTTAAGTGTTTGGTTCCAAATTTCCGAAGCTGGCCTCATTTTCTCTCTCCTCCAGTAGGTATCCAACAAAGTGCAATTTTTGGACGCCAGTCTTGTTTAATCATCTTGGTTGTATACTTCCATGTTTCATAAGTGTATACAGCAGTTGGTGTAATAACATTCTTAAAGAGTTTTATCTTTGTGATAATGCTTATGGCTCCCATAGAGAAAATTGGGCACATGTGTTGAAACACAGCCACTGCCATTCCAATTCAATAGTTAATATTCTAATCTCTATAATGCTGCCAAGGTAAGTAAATTGTTGGACTTGTTCAACGGACTGGCCACAGACTGTCTAGAGCAGTGGTTCTCAACCTTTCTAATGCCGCGACCCCATAATACAGTTCCCCATGTTGTGGTGACCCCCAACCACTTATACATCACCGGGTGCCAGGGGTATGGCCAAAGAAAAGGGGGAAAAATGGCGGACAGCCTTGTTTGGCGACCCCCGTGAAATGGTCATTCGACCCCAAATGGGGTCCCGACCCACAGGTTGAGAACCACTGGTCTAGAGTCTAGACCAGGGGTGTCAAACTGTCGGCCTGTGGGCCAGATGTGTCAGGGTGAAACTGTGCCCACCCCATTGCTGGCAATGGAAAAAAAGTTGGGATACGTTGCGACACGTCATGTGACATTGCGAGTTTGACACCCCTGGTCTAGATAGACCATTTAAAAATGGAAAACCTAGCCTATTCAGCTATCTGCAAGATACCCTTCCATTTCTCAGTAATCACAGATTATGCATGATGTTATGTGTGTGTGTCTATATGTATGTATGTATGTATATTGTAACTTTATTTAATATAATAATTTGTTTATTATTAATGCAACTTTTCCTAATGTAGTATTTTTATGCAGCATATGGGCTGCTGCATTGCAGAAGAGTTAATTCATAGAGTGCAAGTTTATCAGTCTCCTTAAAATCCACACGAAATGAACGTCTTCCTTCCCACTGGTAGGCACTTCTAATATTAAAATCATTTGAAACTCATTTAAATGTGTAGTAGGCTATGAAACTCCTTAATAATAATAATAATAATATCCATTTTTTAGGCTGGCTGGTCAAAGTAAAACTCATGTAATATAACAGTTCTGTATTTTGAGTAGGCAAATTTAATTAATCACTTAATATTTAGACTTTCAATCTTTTCCTGTTCATTATGCATCTGTTTTGCTGTAACAATATTTTATACCGAAACTGGTTGAAGAAGATAGTAATATATTGGCCTAATTCCCAATTTAACTCAAAGCACTTAAAGAAACAGAGTGTAGGCATCCTGTTTTTTCCCTACTTACCCTATCAGTTTTTCCTTCTGTCTGAATACTGGTGCGACTGTGGGCGTCATGATCTTCTTCAAGGTCAGATACATCTTCTAACTCTTCTGGGGTCTGGAAAAGAAATATCACATTATCATTTGAGGTAAATTCAATTCTGTCGTGTCTGTGGATTCTTTCTTTTGGACTTCTTTTAGTTTAGATTCCCCAATGGAATTGGAGAGGTTTTTGCTGTATAGCAGTGATGGCGAACGTTTTAGAGACTGAGTGCCCAAACTGCAACTGAAAACCCACTTATGCATCGTTGGGTGTTGGGTGGGTGTGGCCCATTGGCTGGGTATGGCCCATTGAGTGGCATGGCTGCAGTGGTAACGGCAAACTGGGTGGGACTGAAAAAGTTCAATCAATCAATTCCAACTTTGCAAGAACTTTTTTTTCCCGCAAGAAGTTGAAATTGACTAATTGAACTTTTTTTTTTTTTGCACATGGCAGCAGAGGCCTAAAGCGAAAAGGTTTTATAAAATCCTGCTGAAGGCCTAGGACTAGAGCGACAACATGCATGCCCACAGAGAGGGCTCTGAGTGCCGCCTCTGGCACCCGTGCCATAGGTTCACCACCACTGCTATATAGGCTTCTTCTGCTACTTAAGAAGCATGAATATTCTTTATCCCACGGCATTTTAGAGAATTACAGCACAGTAATATGCCACATTTCTCATAATTGTACAAGGTTTGTATGCTGATATTATCAAACATTTCATCCTTATGGTATTGCAATATATTTCTGGGTGTAAAAACCTAATTTTATTGGCTGACATATGAAATGCACTATTTCACCAGATTTTTCTAAAAAAATATTTTTATATCTTCTAGTACATTATTGTATGGTTTTTTGATTCTCTTCCCCTTCAAAATATACAAAGCAGACAAAATAACATTTTCTAAATAAAAATGTGCTTTTTTTATATTCAGAGAATTACATAGGACACTTTGCAAAGCAAAAATACACATGAGAACAGTGTTGTAAAAATGACTGTTTGTGAAAGAGGCCCATACAAAATAATCATTAATCAAAAAGCTTACAGAAATGAACAGATTAGAAAACATCCAGAGAACGCGAAAGCATTTTTTTAGTTTTCTTTCATAGTTGAACGTTTCTCAAGAAATGAAACAAAAGAAGGAATAAGGACAAGTGAAAATGTATAGCATTTGCCGCTCCTAGCACATACAATTGGAGATCTGCATATGTTCTTGGAAATGAAGACAACTCTGGTCTCAACCATTTTTTGGTCTGAATAAATAAAGAGAAGAATCTGGAAGCAGTCTGTCCTTACTCTGTCCCCATCAGATCTTGAACCTTTTCTCAGCAGAAGATGAGTAACGGAGAAGATAACTTGCTCTGAAGGTTTCTGGGCCTGATATAGCATGGATTAAGTTCCTTCTGCACCCTCCAATGCTCTCAGACCTGCTCAATCCACAGAAACAAACAACCCACAAGGATCCACCCAGAGCCGTCAGTGAAATGGAAAAGGATTCTCAGTTGGGTAATCTGTGCTCTCCTCAGCTTTCCCAACAGGGAATGAAATACATACTTCATCATAGTGCTATCCAAAACTTCAAACATCTCAAAATGCAACATCAAAGCAATAGATCTATACATAATTAAAAGACATGGCATCAGTAACTGGAAAAGAAAAATGGCAGCAAGCAGGCAGAATTACAGAGAACTAAAGAATGAAAACAAGAAACACAATCATCACCATCAAATTCACCTTAGGCAAAATCCATACAAAATTCAGATACAGTATAGCCCAGGAATGATGTTAGAGTACCTTTTTCCTTCAGACGGACAATTACTTTTCCCACTCCACAATCACAATCCCTGATTATAAACCTGTGACCTCCTGGGCCATCCTTTCTCCATCCTTTTTCCTTCACACTCAGATCTTTCCATCTACCACATTCCACACCCTTCCCACCCACCTTCCTCTGCACTCTTTAACACACACAAGAACCTCTGCTGGCCTATTCATCGGCCTTCTTCCATCACGTTCGCCACCACTAAACCTGAAAATTCAACCATGATATTTGTCTTTACTCCACTGTTCTTTCCACCACTAATTCACTCACCAAAAATCTGTTCATCCTCCTCAAGCCTTTTGGGGAAACTCCAAAAGGTGTTAATATTTTTTATAAAAAACTTGAACCACAATAAGTGTTTTATCAGTGCCTAAAGCATTGGTCATGTTCTGATGCCATTTTTATTGCTGTTGAATTTTTCAAAACAGGTATACCCGTACTTTCCGGCGTATAAGATGACTTTCGCAAGCTTTAAAATTGGCGCCAAAGACGGGGGTCATCTTATACGCCAAGTCGTCTTATACGCCGGAAATAACGGTAGTTTCTGGCATATAAAATGACTTTCTAGGCATGCGACTCGGCGCCGAAGACGGGGGTCGTCTTATACGCCAGGTCGCCTTATACGCCGGAATATACAATATATATATTTTTTATTGTATGGCTATCTTGGAAAGAATTCTGTGAACCAGTGCTGCCTTTGTGAGGCTGCTTCCTTTTGTCTATTATCCTGAGTCAGACAATCCCTTTCCTCCTCTTTTCTTCCTTTACCTTCCCTCTCCTTTGCTTTCCCTCCCCTCCTTTTTGCCTTCCTTCCCCTCCACTTCCCTTCTCTCCTCTTCTCTTTCTTCCCTTCCCTCCCCTTTGCCTCTCCTCCCCTCCCCTCCTATTCCTTCCCTTCTCCTCCCTCCCTCTCTTCCCTTCCTTTCCCCTCCCCTCCCTTCCTCTTCTCTCTTTTCTTTGTCTAATTCCTTTCTCTTTTTCTCTGCCAGGAAATTTCAGATATACTGTAATAAGAGATGCTATTTCCTCACTATAATAAGTTTTAAACAGCATTAAAATGAAGCTGCAAGAGTTCATGCAGGGTCGTTAGTAGGGTGCCATCTTGCCTCTTACTCCAACTTATTATTATTATAAATTATATACTATGTACTAAATTATTACTAAATTTATTTTTATGTAATATGATCGCATTTTAAGTCTATTTCTTAGCTTTATTAGTAATTACAAGTTTATAGATTTTATTATAGTTTTATTTTGTTCTCTGCCCTAAAGGCCACAGTGAAGTTTCATTGTGTAATTGTATAATTTTACTCCTGTGGAATGATTACTCATGAAGAAGTGCTATATTTTGAGCTAACAGGAAACTAATTTGATTACACTCTTTTTGTGCCTACTCAATTGTAAATTTCCTTTATAAGTGCTGAAGAACAAAACAATGTATCTGTTTTCATAAGAGCATTAAACTACGTTTGTATATATCTTTCATACATTTTGCATATGCCACTTAGTGGAAATGCAAAAACACATTAGTACAAGATTACTTACCACATATTACAAATAACTTTTTAAAAAACTTTCTGGATGGTTTATGCAGTGATTCTTATGTGTGGTATTTACCAAAAGTTGGCCATAATACTTTCCAATAGCAATGAAATTCAAATGGGCATCAATTAGTTTGAAAGAGGAGGGTATAAGCAACAGATTGTATTTTTTTATTATTATTTTCATTACATTTGAAAGTGTGTAGGACTTACATTTTAAAGGATTCTTAGTTATATAGTACAGTATGTATCACTCATAAAGAACATTTTTTAAGTCTTTAAAAACAAAACAGAAATATTACTCTCACGGTGTTTGCTCTGCTTGCTTTTTAAAATATATTTGATGACTAAATCTGAAGCAGCTTTTTCATAGGCAAATATAACTGCAACTTTTATTGTTATATGTCCTCTGTACAAGCTTTCTGCAGGAGTCCTAGTCCAGAATGAAAAGAGCTTAGCATTATCGGAGACTATGAATAGGGTTGGGACCAGAAGTGTCCAGGAGAGGGAAGGCGTCAAAAGTCAGGATAGCAACAGCGATCATGTGATTTATATCCCACCCCTGTGTCATATATACAACATGTGTTAAAAAAGAAGTGGAAGGCCCTGTCACGGAGTCAAGATTGCCATACTGACTTTTTTGACCTACATCTCCCACAGACTTACTGACGGGTGTCAATTTCCCACTTGTGTTCTTGATGCATGCCATACTCCCTCTAGCTATAACAAAAGAACTGGATAGTTCTGAACATGTTAGTTGAAAGGCTTTTAAGTCACTTGAATGGATCCCATTCCTGGGAACTAGATGAACACATCCATCTTGTTTCCTCTGCAATAATAGGAATGTGGTTTCCTCTTCCATTGTTTTGGGAAGGTTTCAGTTGTTTTTGGCCCTAATATATAGCCCTGGGTTTCATGGTTACTCTTTAACCCAAGTCTACTCTCTGAAAGAATGCAAATGACCAGCTGTCTGCAAGGGATATAAATCCTTCCATTCCCCACTATCCAGTAAGAGCTGAAGAAGCTTCTTGGATGAGAAGCGAAACGTCTTCAAAGAAAAAACAAGAAAGTCCAGTTGCCTCTTGAAAAAAAAACATGTTTGGGACTTTCACCCAACTACTGCTAAGTGTAACATTTCTGGCCATCAACCATGTGATGTTTTATATCTGTGTTAATGGTGACTTATGCAACAATCCTCAGAGTCCTCTGCTACAGAATTTATGTCAGTTTGCTTCCCATGGTATAGGATCATATAGGATGGTCAATGTGATTTTTAAATGATATTGGAATAACTGCTGAGTAAACAAGCAGTTTAGCGTGATTTTCATAATAGGATGTATATATTATACTTTGAGACATGTGTTCCCGTTTTATGTTGCAGAACCTACACTTTATATCTTATTTTTTATTCAATTTAAAGACAAATAAATTCACAATTCATAGTGAAGACTAAGATGATTCTCAATGTACCCAAGAAATAAAGAATCTTCCTACCCAGAGCCACAGTTGCCATATATGTAGCATAGAAATAACGAGTAATCTAAACCTAGAATTGGGCTAGAGTTTGCCTTCAAGGGAAAGTTGTTGGGGAAGATTGTATTTCTCAGCTACCAGTTATCAGGTAGCTATGTGACATACAAAATATGTGCATACAAAAGACAATACATACATTGAGCCAGCAGTGTGCTGCAGCTGCCAAAAAAACCAACACAGT